ATTTTCAAAAAATTTAATCTCATTTATATGTATAGTGTATCTACATGAGTTGGCGGCACTTTTTTAAGAATTTTAAGAAAAAGACTTATTTTTCATAAACAATTGCATGGTCTATTAATTTTAGAAAAAAAGTTACTTTACATAAAAAGTTATGCATGGTCTAAAACCTAAAATTCAATCATCTGATATTAAATTTTATCAGTCGTATACAGGGTTTATCGAAAATAAAGGTATTTTATCTTGAGTAAAATCATATTTTTTTACAAACTTTGTAAAACCGACTGATAAAATTTGATATCGGGTGATTGCATTTTCTGTTAGACCTTGCATACATTTTTATGAAGAATAAAAAAGTTTTCTATATGCTGTCAACTTACATAGATAGACATACTGTGTGTATGCAACTTATGACATATTGCTGAGATAATGTTTTTGTAAGAAAAAAGAAATTTATCATAAAATTTTACTTCATTTGTAGAGTTGTAATTTATGTTTTCATATTAAGTTTTTATTTTCACTTTTTTTATCAATTTAGAATTTTCTATTTTTATTATTATTATTAATCAAAATTACGTGTGCATTTTAGATTAATCAATAAGAAAAATAAGCATTTTTGAAATATTAATAACTAAATACAAATTAAACAACAAATGAATAAAAAGCATACAAAACACGTTGACTGCCGAAGCAAATGTTGTGATCGGGTTTGCTGAGCCGAAGTAGTTTTTCTAAAAATTTAAGTCTGTTTTTACGATTTTAGAGTAAAGTAGTTTAAGTAAATACTTAGGTAAACTACAATATCTAATAGAAGCGCGAATAAAATATATATACGCAGCGCGGGATTAAATTATTACAAAAACATGACGCGTGCATATATTGTGAATATATTCAGGTTGTCCCATTAGTGCTTAATTGTTCAATATTTCAATTTGGGTTATAGACATTTAAACAATTTCTAAATAAAAATTATATGAATTTCAAAAATAGGTATTTTAAAGATATTTTTAGACATACAGGGTTTTGCGTTTTTGTCTGACAAATAAAAAGGTTTATTTTTTAAATGGAAGACCCTGTATTTAACTTCAGTTTTAGAATGTATTTAACCCTAGAATTTTATTAACAATTATTGCAGGGTTGCCAATAAATTATTTTTTTTATGAAATTAGAGAATGATGTAGACCCCAAATTAAATTATCATAATTTAGGTAGGTTACAATAATTTCAAAATTGTTTAATACACAGACATAAGATACTGAGCTAACGAACAGTTGTGATAGAACTGGTTTATACAGAGTATATTATTTTAGCATAAAATTCCTTATAAATTTGCCTATACAACGATACCAATATGTTAGCTAATAACGCATATATAGGGTATCCCATCAGTACGTAATTGATCGAAAGCTGTTTTATTATTATAAATACGAAGACATTTTTAATATATAATAAGATATTAAGCTAACGAATAGTGGTGATAGAACTGGATTATTTTATACAGAGTGTTTTGAAAAACAAGTCGTAAATATGGCTAATTCCACGTTAAATTTATTTAATTTTTTCAAATGCCACACCCTGTATATTATTTAAGCATACAATTACTTATAAATTTACATATCCAGCGATACCAATATGTTAGTCAATAGCACATATACAGGGTGTCCCATGAGTGCGTAATTGATCGATAGTTGTTTTATTATTGGAAATACAAAAAAAAATAATATAAAAGTTGTATGACCATGTTTAATAAATATTCTTAAATAAACGGGGTGGTCCATAAATGAGGGGCTGATCAAACTTATACATTTTTAAAGCAAAACATAGTTAAACATATTTGATTATTTGATTGTTTTCACATCGTTAAACAATTTTAATAGACTGCATTTATTTGCTATATTATATGTATAGGGTGTGTCAAAATACGGGATAACGATTTTCTCAAATTTTTTAAATGGAATACCCTATATGTTATACCATCAATTAATTAATACAGGGAATTCCATTTAGAAAATTGAGTAAATCGCAACTTCACGTTTTGACACACCCTATATACAACATAGCAAATGAGTGACGTCAATTAAAATTGTTTGACAATATACTGTTCATTATCTCAGTATCTTATAAGTTTTGAAATCAATGTAAACCTACCTAAATTATGATAATTTAATTTGGGGTTAGCATCATTCTCTAATTTAAAAAAATAATTGCTTGGCAAAACTGTAATATTATTTAAAAACTTTCTAGGGTTGAATACAGTATTACCAAACCATTCAAAAATAAAATAAAATACACGGTGTTCTATTTGAAAAACATAAATTTGTATTTGCCAGGCAAAAACGCAACACCCTGTATATCCAAAAATATTTTTAAAACATGTTTTTTTTAAATCCATATAACTTTTATTTGAAACTATAACACAAATTGAAATATTGAACAATTACGCACTAATGGGACACCCTGTATGCAATTGAATGTACGACCGTTTTAATGATCGTCTATTAATAAATAACTATTATTTTCTATTTTTCGGCTTTTGTGAGCAGATTATTATAGAATAAATTTACTTTTCCGCCCGGCGGGTGGTAAAGTAGTTCGCGGGCGATAAAGGAGTACTTTACGCCCACTAAACGTATTTATAATTCGGACTTTATCGCCCGGTCGTGCTTAAAATTTATTAATTAACGAAAACTCTTTGTGGTAGAGCCTTCTTGGTCGAATATATTAAAACCCTGTATAAGAGTGTGTAAACGACACTTTATTATCACAAAAAATACACTTATAGCTATTTGCCATAATGTCATAAAAATTATATAATTCTTTTATCATTTCATATTTTTTCATGAAGGTACAATCTTCCGTCACAAAAATTTTATTATTTATAATACCTTGTACTTCACTTTTTTTACGATATTTTAAAGAAATTAGCAATAATTACGGTATCCGAATTTAACTCGTCGACAAGCGCATTAAAATTGAACAAGAAAATGATAAAAAATTAAAATAATGCGCATAACTTAAAGAAACTAAAAAGTATGTTCCAAAAATACACGTTTTGCGCAATTTACATAATCATGAATCAGACCTGCTGTTTTTGATTCTTTTTTGGCACAATTATTGTTACTATCACCTGAACAACATATTTCTAGACTGAATCACGTGAATGAATGAATACTGACGAGAAATTGGATTGGTTATTTTACTTTATAATTTAAAGCTAGCAAAACAACAACAAAATCGAATGCAAATGTATAAATTTGGTCGTAAAAGTACCAACAATAACAAAAAGAAGTTATAATAATAAAATTGTTCTTAGAACATGAATTTTTAACATTTTTCTCTACACTTACATAGATATTATCTATTCCTATGCACCGACTACATAACAAAAAAATATGCCATTACGTCCGTATCCATTACAGTAGGAATACTGTACGGATATGAAATCCACCAATCACAGTTCATATTTGTCAAACTAATTGTCAGTGTCAGTATATTTTTCAATTATTGAGAAAAAATACTAATTCAAAATTAACGAAAAGAAAAACCTTGCGCCATTTTGTTTGAATACGAAAAATAAAAGTTACTGGCTAGGAAACAGTTACAGATTTATGCATTATATAGGTACAGACCTCGGTACCGACCTTGATACAGACCTCGGTACAGACCTTGGTACAGACCTCGGTACACATCTCGGTACAGACCTTGGTACAGACCTCGGTACAGACATTCTAGATTTTAGTAATAATTGTAACAACTATTTTTTGACTCTAAACTGCATTTTGATAAACACATAGGTATCCACAAAATAAAAAAGCTTATGTTTCGCTAAGATTAATTATTTATCCCCATCGATCGATTTTAAATTTTCAAACAAAAAAAATAAATTTACCGTATTCATTAGATCTTTCAGAATTTACTCATTGTGACACTGTTTGTGGTCCTTTTCTTAGAAAATCGGATGTATACCGAGTTCAGAATGTCCAAAATTCTTGCTTAACAAGTTCGCGACGTAGCCGATTTCGGATGTGTCAACATACAACCGTAATTTTTTTTGCTTAATAAGTGAATATTATTGTATTTGTGATCAATAAAGCTTTATATGCTAATGTTTCGTGTTTTTTTTATTTTTTGTTGTATTTAAATATGTACCACCGGTGGTCCACGACGGCTGTAACCAAAGACATTACAACTAATTGTTTACATTTTTATGTGGCAAATCATTATTCCCACCAGATTCTCCTTTATTGCGTCTTTGCCGATTTTATCAGTCTGTCCAAATTATTTGGAGAAATTACTTTCGAAAATTAAAATTTGATGTGTCCTGTAACTATAATTTTATATTATATAAATAAAAATATGTTCAAGGATTTTCCTCAATAATTAATATATTCAACAAATATGGACCACCCTGTATATTTCTAACGTCTTTATATTTCATACTAACGACCAGAAGTCGTGTAGTTGATCTTAGGGAATTTTAAAATAACAGTTAATTTTAGAATTCAATATCTCAATAATTAAAAAAATGTACTTAAATCTCTTTAATTCCAAACCCCTAAATTGTTTTTGAAAAACCTTGCTACGTCTAAAAATTGAATATTACTTAAATTCAAATACTATTATACGTTTAAAAATTGAATATTACTTAAATTCAAATACTATTATACGTTTAGATTTAAAGATTGCTGGGAATTTAAATAATTTAGGAGAATTTTTACATTTTCCATAATATAATATAATATTTTTTTCATTAACCCCTAATAAAATATATAATTTTAAAATAAAAGTATTTCCAATTTTTATAAAAATTGACGTAAATTATGACGTAATATCAAAGTTTGGTACGTAAAGCACTGCTTTTGAGGTGGAAAAATAATGTAAGTATTTATATAAATTTAATTGATTTACTCATCTTTGAACTGAATTTTCGATATCACTCGTTATGTTTTTTTAAAGAGAAGAAAAATATGATTATTTAAAATAAAAATTTCTTCAATACTTACTCTTCTAACCAAACGTTTCATTTTCTTCAAAACCACAATCACTAAACACAATTTCACTAAAGCACAAACTCGTCAGTAGAAAAATACGAGTATATTTGCTATCCAACTAGAAATAAATCAGGTGTTAGATTTTGTTTATCTTATCTCAAAAAAAGCAGTTTAAGTCAAAGTCAAATACATCAATAAATAAAAGGAACGATTAGCTTACTTTAAACGCCAAGAGATCTATTTTAATTGTTTTGATGTATTAAACTAGAACAGTGTACGTTATAAAATTTATTTGGACAAGTATGTTTTTTTTTTGTTAAAATAAATACCTACTTGATGATTGCTAAAAGAAGCGATTTAAAAATGGCCACCGACTTGTTTTCTTTAGAATACGGCCTGTGGGTTCTATAAAAACATTTATTTGGTAACATGATTACATTTATACATATTTTACAGTCCTTCACTTCATTTTTTTGAATCGATAAATATTGGCTTTTGGTAATATTTCAAAAGGCGACCTTAAAAATGCAGTGTATTTTTAAAAGATGAAATTTTTAATAAATGTAGTAGCATCGCAGTGTAGTAAAACCTATGCCACATTTCAGGTTCAGGACAAAATCCGCATTAAAATTGACAAGGTTGCTTTAATATACGGCTTCTAAAAAAAAAACAGAAATGTTGATGCCATCATGATTATTCCAGGCAATTTTTGGATAAAATTAGGCAACCGTATATTTTAATGTGATATATACTGATCCCGTCACGTGTGTGTGTGTGTGTGTGTGTTTGAAGTCCAGAGCCCCGGGACAATTCTCTACATCGGACCCTGTGACAAAGAATCTTAACCAAAAACTTTTCGTTTTCTAAAAAAAAGGTCCTCACCTCAAAAATAAATTTTCTCCTTACCTCAATTGCTTCTTCTAAAAAAAAAAAAAATTCCTCAGCCGAAAAAAAACTCCTCTAAGCTAATAAGCTAAATTTTTTCCTGTAACTTTTAATCACATCATATCCCCTTTCTCTTCTTATGTCGAATTTCTCATGCAGAAACAGAAAACCCTATTGTCGGGCCCCCCTTATAGCGCTAGCGGGCCCCCATTTGAGTCCGGGCCCCGGGAATTAGTCCCGGCTACCCCCCCTCTAGTCTAGTCTAGAAAATATTAGATAAAATACAGGATGACCTACTTAAAATTTTAAAGTTCATCTTATTTGCGGTCAAATCGGATATGACATTTGAATCTTAAGTCTTAAAACCAATTAAAACGCACAATATGATCTAGTAACGGCAAAAAATACTAAAGTCACGGGAGTTAGTCACATTGTTAATAAAATGTTACATTATAAACCCCTAAACAACTCGAAAAAAAATTTGTTTACTAATAAATCTAAATTCTTGCAATAATAATTATTTATTATACATTCGAATACGGTTTTAAGGATAACGGGATCAAAAAATGCAAATCTCTAAAGGACCCCGCACTTTTAACATTAATTTTGGGTACTGACAGAATTTGTTCAAATTTTAATATGTTATTTTTCAGGTCATTACCGTGTTTCTCTATGTAAAAAAAAAAAATACGGGGGGATTAAAAGGTACCCAACCCCCCAATATTTTTTAAAGAGGTCGTTGTAATTTTTTTCTTTTTAAAATATAGGGCCTTCAAATCTACAGCACTGGCAAAAAATTCAAAGAAAAAATCGCAAAGGCAAAATTATTAAAAATAAAAAACGTTTTTTTTTTTAATGTTAGTTTAACGCCCTGCAACTTTGTTGGGAGTCAGTTTTTGATATAGGTAAATATAGCCAAATCCACTTATTTTTTGGTAATATATCTGTGGAAGAATTTATGAAATACCTTTCTGAAAGACCCTGTATAATCCTAACAACAAATATGACTCTTCTATCTAATAAATAAGACATTTTAATGCCTCCGCTGTCACCTTGTTGACAAGCAGCTGCTTGGTTCGTTCAGATATTTCGGCTAAATATTACCGATCCAACGCCATTGTATTTGAAATTCTTACACTCAAATCCAACTTATTCACACCGTTAATTTGAATATTGTAATTTTATTAAATTAATTTAATTTAAATTTAAATTTTACGTATTTATGATTTTATAACATTCCTTCTCGTATAGTAAAAAAATAGCAATCTGAAATATCGCATTTGTAAATGTAAACAAAATTCAATTAATCAACTCTCTCCTTGCATAAATCATAAAAATAGATTTAATTTAATCTTGTTATTTACTGTGATGAAAAGCATCCACTTAAAATATGTATGGGTTTCGAGCGTCGGGCCATCTGGTTTTAAAAATAGACATTACATTGAACCGGGCAGTTAAAAAGTAATCAAATTCAAGTACTCGCCTTTCAATGAAGTTTATTTAGAAGTCCGTAATTGAAAAATGAAATTACCCAAAAACAAAAGTGGTGTTTACCGGTTTCCGGCAACGTACTAAAAAACAATTTAAATCACCATTTTGATAAACAGTATTTTTATTAGAATGTGTCATAAGACTATTTAAAAAAAAAAGTTCTTCACATTTGCTGCAGCAATTTTCGGAAAACCCTGGTCCCAGAAGAGAAAATTGTAATCGATGAAAGTATGGTGCCTTGGAGGGGTCGTCTCATATTCCGGCAATACCTTCCAGCAAAGGCTCATAAATACGGTGTCGAACTGTACAAAGTATGTACACCCGAAGGGTACACATATGACCTGAGGGTCTACGCTGGAAAAAACGACCCGACGAGAACCAATCCTGCTGCAAAGAATGAAGGTGGTCATACGTACAAAATTTGCATGGAACTGATGAGTGATTTGAAAAACTGTGGCAGAACTCTTTATATAGACAATTTTTACACGAGTGTTAAACTTTGCCAAGACTTGTTGAAATCAGAAACATATGTTTGTGGAACGCTAAAAGCCAACAGGAAGGGAAATCCAGAAAATGTCAGTAAAAAAAAGTTGAAGAAAGGAGAGATATATGGGAAGCAGGATGAAAATGGAATCCGCGTAATAAAATGGATGGACAAACGTCCAGTTCGCACCAAAAATCGTAAGGGAGAAGATATCAAAAAAGATAACCCCGTTAATTTACTTGACAAAATATCTTTATGTCAAATTATTACAAATTAAAACAAAACCAATTGATAAAACATAATTACTCAGTGACAAAAACTCACCCTGTTCAGCAATCAGCCACTTACAAAAATTACAATTATTCACTAGTTTATTGATATTGGAAGGAACTTTAATTTTGTTCCGCAAAGCAACTAACTCAAATTTAAAATGATCTGTATTCTATGTCTGCTCGTTATTTTACCCTTAGTTCCTATATTCGTAATCCGATACCTCCGCATCTTAATAGTGTTAACATAAACATAGGCTCTGACTGTTTTGGAAGACAAATATTTCCTGCATTTAAAAACCGAGTGATAAAAATTATTAAATTTATATAGAAAATAAAATCATTCTTACACAATTATCACTGACTTAGAGTATGGTTTATTTTAGAGATGGTGTGAGTTATTGGTGAATTAAAAATGGAACAAATAGAAGCGCAATCGGTTTTTAGAGGGAGAATAATATAAATCTTGTGAAAACCTGCCTATATAAAAATTGCAACAAAGTATTGTAGTTTATTTATTTAAAGAGTTTAATTTTTTCTCTAACACACAATTTATTTATACCAAATACAAGACTAATTTATATTGACAATATTTATCTGAGCAAAACGGTATCTTAACTTAAACTGAATAAAGTGACATTTTTCGCAGTATTCAAAAATTTCCGCCATAAAACATCAAAATTCATTTTAAAAATTAAACATTTTAATTTTGGACTATCGCGGATATGAAAAAAAAAAAAAATAATAAATAATAACAATTATACATTATCATTTTAACAAATATTATTAGAAGATATTGGAACACAATAGAATGGTTTTGTAAATGTAAATGACGTATAGCAGTTTATAAAACATTCACTAAATTTATTATACTTTTTATTAAAACTATTTAAATACACTGACATTTATACAAAACGAAGTTTTATTGATTATGGAATTAAATTAATTTTGTAAATTGTTGCTTTATTATTATAGGACCATGATATTTTTTTGGTCAAGTTAGACAGTCTAATTTTATAATAATATATTATTTTTAATTTATAATACAATAACTTTATGGTTACTATATATAAAATGTACATTTAAATCTATAAAAATCTTAATGACTACTCGTAGAAAATCTAAATATAAATATTCTAATTTTAAAACCGGTTCTGTAAATTATTTTTTATAAACATACAATTGAGACAAAACATGAACATTGCATGTATTAGACAAAGAGAAAATATTGCCTAGTGAAACGTATGAATGACCAATCTATACAATCATATATCATTGTTCACCATTTACAAGCATGAACAGAATTAAAAAATGGTCGGAAATATGAAGCCTAGAGAGAATATCAGTAATTGGTTTGTTGACTTTTGAAATAACGCTAATCCAACATTCTTTTTTGTTTAAATACTTAGCATATTTTTTCGACGTTTCTTTTCTTAATTTTTTATTTTTTTTGTAAATATTAGTTAGCTCAATGATCCGCATTCTTTTACGTTACTGGAAGTTTTCCAATGTATTCCAATGACGTGAGAATTGGAGATTGTATTTGTTGATCTTCGGGTTTCCATGATAATGACGGAAATATAATCTTTGCACCATCGATCTTCCAATCCCAAGAACCGACAAAATAACGAATTAGATTTTTTTAATAATATGTGAAAAAAAAATAACAATGAACAGGCAGAGTGAAATAAATAAATAAGTTAAACAGGTTAAAGCCTTTTAAAAATATGTAAAAAACATTTAATTAATATATTAAAAGGAAAATTGATATTGTTTTAAGCTATAAAAAACAATGTAAAGAGAAATGGTAATTTTATAGTCATTAAGTATCAACAAACAATTTACAAAAACTTTATTTTTTATGTAAATTTGTTTAAATATTGAATATTTAAATTATATTACTTTTTCGCACAATCAGAATAGGTAAAAACAACACCAAAACATAGTTCTAAAATAATAATAATAACAATCCGAATTCGAAAAAGAAAGGAAACGAATAATACACTGCTCAACAATTAAAGTATATAATATAAATATTTTGATATACCAAATTTTTTGCAATTCATAAGCCAGTTGTAATGTTTACCTATCATTAATATGACTTTC